GTTGAGCATGACCTTAAGTGCTTTTTAGCCATTCGAAGTTCATCTGTTGTGAATTCTCTGTTCAGTTCAGTACCCCATTTTTTAATTGGGTTAATTAGAGTTTTAGTGTCTAGTTTCTTGAGTTGTTTGTATATTTTGGAGATCAGACTTTTGTCTGTTGAGGGGTTTGTGAAGATCTTCTCCCAGTCAGAAGGTAGCCTTTTTGTCTTACTGACAGTGTCCTTTGCTTTACAGAAGCTTCTCAGTTTCAGTAGGTCCCATTTATTTATTGTTTCTCTTATTGTCTGCACTCCTGGGGTTCTGCTTATGAAGTGGTCTCCTGTGCCTATGTCTTGTAGATTACTTCCTACTTTCTCTTCTATCAGGTTCAAAGTGGTCGGATTAATGTTGATGTCTTTAATCCATTTGGACCTGAGTTTTGTGCATGGTGATAGATATGGATCTATTTTCATTCTTCTACAGGTTGACATTCAGTTATGCCAGCACCATTTGTTAAAGATGCTATCCTTCTTCCGTTGTATAGCTTTAGCTCCCTTGACAAAAATCAGGTGTTCATACGTTTGTGGGTTAATACCCGGGTCTTCTATTCGATTCCATAGGTTGAATTCTCTGTTGTTATGCCAATACCAAGCTGTTTTCAATACTGTTGCTCTGTAATAGAGTTTGAAGTCAGGGATGGTAATGCCTCCAGAAGTTCCTTTATTGTATAAGATTGTTTTGGCTATCCTGGGTTTTTTGTTTTGCCATATAAACTTGATTATTGTTCTCTCCAGGTCTGTGAAGAAGTTTGATGGGATTTTGATGGGAATTGCATTGAATCTATAGATTGCTTTTGGTAGAATTGCCATTTTTACTATGTTGATTCTCCCAATCCAAGAGCAGGGGAGGTCTTTCCATTTTCTGGTATCCTCCTCAATTTCTTTCTTCAAGGACTTATAGTTCTTATCAAATAGGTCTTTCACTTCCTTGGTTAGAGTTACCCCAAGATACTTTATGCTATTTGTGGCTATCATGAAAGGTGATGTTTCTCTGATTTCCCTCTCTGCTTCTTTATCCTTTGTGTATAGGAGGGCTACCGATTTTTTGGAGTTGATCTTGTATCCCGCCACATTACTAAAGGTGTTTATCAGCTGTAGGAGTTCTTTGGTAGAGTTTTTGGGGTCACTTATGTACACTATCATATCGTCTGCAAATAACGAAAGTTTAACTTCATCCTTTCCAATTCGTATCCCCTTGATCCCCTTATGTTGTCTATTGCTATTGCTAGAACTTCAAGCACTATATTGAAGAGGTATGGTGAGAGTGGACAGCCTTGTTGTGTTCCTGATTTTAGTGGAAAGGCTTTGAGTTTCTCTCCATTCAATTTGATGTTAGCTGTCGGCTTGCTGTATATTGCTTTTATTATATTTAGGTATGATCCTTGTATCCCCAGTCTCTCCAACACCTTTATCATAAATGGGTGTTGAATTTTGTCAAATGCTTTTTCAGCATCCAATGAAATGATCATATGGTTTTTTTCTTTCAGTTTATTTATTTGACCTATGAATCTATTTCCTCTATAGAATCTTCAACACTTGAGGTTTTTCTCCTTCATCTCTTGTATTCTGTTGGTCACGCTTGCATCTGTAAGTCCTGTTCATTTACCCAGATTTTCCATTTCCAGAATTCCCTCAGTTTGTGTTTTCTTTATTGCCTCTATTTCAATTTTCAAGTCTTGAACTGTTTGTTTCACCCGTTTGGTTTTTGTTGTTGTTGTTTTTGTTTGTTTGTTTTCTTGGGTTTCTTTAAGAGCTTTATTGATTTCTTCCGATTTTTTTGTCTATCTTTTCCTCCATTTCTTTAAGTAAATTTTTCATTTCCTCTTTAAGAGTCTCTATCATCCTCATAAAGTTATATATAAAACCATTTTCTTCTGTTTCTTCTGGGTTAGGATGATCAAGTCTTCCTGCCATGTGACTACTGGTTTCTGATGTTATCATATTGCTTTCTAGGTTGTTGAATGCACTGGCACTGACCCATCTCTTCATCCAGTTGGTACCAGCAGTGTCTTTACCTCTTGGTTCAATCTTTGCCGCTGCTGTCTGTATCTTTGGAAGCTGTTCTTGGTCTGCTCTGTACTGTCGCTGTCTGTGTCTCAGGGAGTCACTGAGGTCTCTCTTGGCCTGGTCTCTTGGTCCCCTCTGTGCAGCCACAGCCTGTGCTTCAGAGGGGAATGTGTGGGTTTGGGGCTGGAGTGGGACTTACAGTTTACAGGGTTTGATCGATGATTAAGCAGCCTACCTGCAGGAAGCTAGCCTGCTGGCTGACTGAAGAATCTGAGGCAGGTGAGGGAGGGGCCTAGGATTTTGGCCTGGTACCAAAGGCCCCAAGAGTGGGATGCCCAACTGGGTGGGTGATCACTCACCTCTTGGTACAGTTGCAGTCTGTGCCTCAGAGTTCCTCTGAGGTCACAGCGGATAGGTGGGTTTGGGGGCAGAGAGGGACTTGTAGCTTACAGGCTATGATCAATGTAGTGGGGGTATTGGAACAGCCTACCCGCAGGAAGCTTGCTGCTGGCTGGCTGGCTCATGAAGCTGAGGCAGGTGGGGGAGGCTGGATTTTTCAGATCCATTTCTACTTACCATTTGTATTGTCACATCTGGACATGGTCATTTCAGTTCCCCAGAGCCCAGTAACTACTCACAGTTTCAATCTCAAGCATCATGTGCCCTTCCCACTGAATCCTGTCCTACTAGGTCCATTGCACTCATCCCTTCTTCAAGTCTGACTCTTCAAACTGCCCGTGAAAATAAGATCTTCTTTGGAAGTTCCAATTTCCTATATGCTCCTCCATACTTGCTCTTATGAGAGAACAACATGCTGGTGTACATCCAATTAAAGAATATCTTACCTTTTGCCTACCTTACTGTTGGCCACTGACCTGAAAAGAAAAATCTCTTATAGTGCTTAGAAAGAGACAAAATAATGTTCCAATCTAGGAGTTGTAACCACCCTTTCCACCCATCTCCCGAAGGGATTGGTTGAGCTCAGATTCTACTGGATCTATTTAAAAGGATAATGCTATTATTTCTTTTTGAAACTTCTATATTCACAGTATGATAAAATTTCATATCACATTTAAAATGTATAAGTATTTACAATATCTATAAAATAAAACTAAAAACTCTCTCGAACAGCGGGACATGAACAGGAGTATGAATCTTGAAGAGAGAGGAATGAAAGGGCAAGAGACATGAGAAATGGACAGCAAGTCTGTATTCTGATCAACTGCCAACTTTATTTTTTCTTAGGAGCATTATATAGCAAAATGGCTGATAGGAAGAGACAAGGAAATGCTGAGGGTCTGTAAATGTTTACAGGGGGAAATGCTAATTACTTCTCAGTCTTGGGGCCTGCTAAATTTGCTGGCATTCTTAACTCACAGGGGGAGATAAGGGTCTGAACTTGCACTACAGAGGTGAATATCTTACTTAATTTGTGAAGTAAGATGTCTATAACCAAACACAGGTCTTTGCTCCCAGCAAAAAATAAGGGTCTCATAGGCAAAAGTTTTGAAGATTTCTAATATACTTTAAGAATCTCACTCAGAAATACCCCCTAAAAATGAGCATCAGACAGACTTCTCTAAGGAAGACAAAGGTTAAAAGGGATTGATGCCTATTAATGGCTTCCTGTGCATTTAAATTATAAACTCAATTTCATTAGGCCTCTCCAGACAAGAGAGGCATGACCGCAATGAGTGTATTACTCCTCATTCGAGAATAAGAAGAAAGGATACAAGGGCATAGGAAGTCTACCCAGTACAGTGTGGTTGAGCAGTAGCTATGAGAATCTCGGTTGGGAAACAAGTCTGACTCAATCCCGAAACACCCCAGTTGATGAACTTTGGGACTGAAGACTCTCATAAAGCATAACCCTGTGGACTACTGTGAGGATTAAAGTAAAGGAAGTAAGACAGGGAAATAGAGCAGGAAGAGGTGAAATGTCACATTTACTGCCAATATGCTTAACTCTGAACCTGCAGTACAGTCTATTTATTGTCCATCGTGTAGCATTAGAGAAGCGAGCAGAACAGTATCGACACATCCTTTAGAAAACAGATCCCTGGTCAATGGGAGGCATGGCCGGTGCTACTGTGTGTAAGTGGCTGACTCCTGAGCCTCATTTTGTAGATCAGTTAATCTCACTCTGGAGCAGAGGAGTGAACTGACTTTTTTTTTTCCTAGGCAAAGCTACAGCAGCACAGTGAGTTGACTCTGCAGAATACTTGCTTCAAACTCATCACCCTCTAAACTTTCATGCTTTGATTAGTCTCCAGAGCCTTGGGCAGCTTTGTATATGTCTTGTGCAAAGTTCAGAGCTGGTATTTGCCAGAGGGTTTATTTTCAGATTCTCACACTGCCATTCAGCTATTTATAGACTTGAAACTCACTTAGAAGTAATAGTCCTTAGGCAATCAGAAAGTGCTCAATGACAGGCAAGATTCTTCTATCAAAAAAAAAAAGTGCTTGGGCCTCAAGAGAGGACCCGAATTTAATCCCAGTGCCATATAAAAAGTCCAGAGAGGTGGTACTCACTAACAGTCAATAATATTATTAAATTGTAACAAACATAGCAACTTCTTTCTGTGTTTATGACCTTAAAGGAAATCATTCTATTTTATGGTTCTTTGACAGTGATTTTTGTGAATAGCTTTGTAGAGGTTTTGCTAGTTTGTGGTATTATGTATGTTTTATGTTGTCGAAAGAGTTATTCATGGGCAAATGTTTATAGATTATTGTTAGGCATTATGCTTGTTTAGTAAATTAGAGGTTGCAGATTCTCCTCCAATAATCATGACTTCATTAGCACTGAGTAGTTAAGCAGGCTTTCCAGTACCAAACATGATTCTCCTCTTGTTGAGTGGGTCTTAAGTGTAGTTAAGAGCTGTGGGATCCCAGGCCCAAGGTGTACATCTACAAAACCTTCCTACACCTTAGGCCCACTGGATACTGGGCAAGATGGGACAGAAAGAGTGCAGAACTCGGAAGACCAGGGACTTTGCTGTGAAGTTGTCTCCTAGTAACTTCAGAAACTACACCCGTAAAGTCTCACCAACACGAGTGTCCAGACATGAACTGAACAAGGACAACATCAATGGACACACCAAGGTGGATGGGGGAAGTCCCACAAGGCTTCAACCCTACAGGAAGAAGTACAGGCAACTGAGGAAAATTGGAAGCAGGAGAGGAAGGCTTCTCCAAGGACGAACATGCCAACTGCTTGTTCAGTGCCAAATGGTCATCACTGAAAAAGAATAAAGACAAATATTACAAAGACTGAACAGGCTATATTTAGGAATATATATGAATGCTTGTATATTTATACAATAACAATTATTGAAGATAAAAAGGCCATAAACTTGAAGGAAAATAGGGAGAGGTATATGGAAGGGCTTAAAGTGGGGAAAGGGAAGAAGAAATGTGTAAATTCTGTTATAAAATCATTTTTTTAATCACAAAAAAGTTGCAGAGAAATAATGAAAGTTAGATATGGCCAGCTCAGCAGTATTTACTACAATTTATTTCCCCCTCTAATATAATAGGATGGTGGATTACATTAATGTAATTTCAATGTTACTTCTTCATCCTTTGGGATGCTGTCCTTATTACTTCAAGCTGTTAATAAACCATTGTATTTTAGTCTGTTGGCGTTTTCTCTTAGAATACAGCTAATCATGTGGGCCCCTTATCTTTCTGCAGTAGTAAGTGTGGCAGATGGCTGTAGAAGGGAAAAAGGTGAGGGGTTTAACAGGAAGGGTCTGCCATCCTTTATTTGCTCCATTTTATTCTGAACTTAATAGGGAGAGCTAGACTGTTCCCGATTCATGAGGTCTGTACAGGATTTTGTTTTCCTCCCTGAGAACTCCAGAAGCCTGGAGACAACTTGTCCTCTTTGGTCTGTGTGTTTTCTGTTTCACCGTGAACAAAATTGAATGCTTCTGGCCTGAGGAAGATGCCCTGCTTCAGATAAAAGCTTGGTGTCTGTATTCTGATTAAATAACACGGCCCCTCCCCTGTTTCTAGTCATTCGGGGGAAGAACTTGTGTCCTGGAGACTAATGGTTTATACATGGTTTATACATTTTTTTAAAGGAAAGAACATAATCAGGTTGCTAGCATAGGGGTGGGGTGGGGCTTAATGTATGACCTCCCTGCCTTATGAAATGTTACCTAAGAGGGCAGGACACAATTAGCCATGAAGAAAGCTGTTTTGTCCCTGCTTTTATTTCCTTATGTAAGCCAGGCCTTCCAGGATACCTGCTGGGGGAAGATTAGAACAAGACTAGTTTGATTGCTTTGTGATGACATAAATAGAATTTTAAACAGTCCAGTTGAAGGACCAAAGTTTTGTGCAAGATGAGGAGCTCTAGAGAAGACGAATTTCTAAACAAGGAATTGAAGACGGTGAATTCAGGGAGACTGAGGACAGTGACTGCATACAGTGCACACCCCAGAAACAGCTATGGACAATGTGACTTTGAAGTTGTCACTATGGGACAGAGGGTCCCCTTGCAACTTAGTAGTGTTGATAAAAGAATGCTAAAATGGACCCTGAAGAGACTTTGAGGACAGTTTTGTTGGAATTCCAGAAAGTAAACAACATGGTGGGACGCTGGAGGTCTTGGCTGATGTCTGGAGAGAGAGATGGAGAGAGAAGAAAGAACAGGGTGCTTTCGCTGTCAATAGAATGTAAATCAAAGGACTCACCTTGGAGGACTGGGAGAATCGAATGAACTGAGCACCCAGGCATCACCCCTTTAAGTTTCCATTAAAGGGGTGAAAAGTTACTCTACTTCCAGGGTGATGCTGTCTTTGGCCACGAATACAACACTGCACCTCTTGATCCAACCCAGGAGAATGTAGTCAGCCTCAGTGTTATTTAGATTACGCTGTAGTCAGTTAAGAGTGGCTGTGTAGCCTAGAACTCGTATGTCTGAGGCAAGAAGGAATGATAATGAAGGTACCAGTTGCAGTTTTGCTTCATCAACTGGACGGGATGTTCAAAGCTAAGTCCATTTACTGTCCTCATTTAGCCCTTAGCTTTGGGGGTAGTTTGAAGCCTTTGCCACATGCTTGTTTTCAGCCTTCCAGTTAGCTCTGAGTATCTTGGGATCTTTACCACTGACTGAAAGCCCAGTCAATGTTGCTTGTTCTTTATTTAGCCACGGAAGGGCAGCCCTTGGAAGTGTGTTAGAAGCAGTTTGGAGATTTTGCATTATAGCATTCTGAATATTCCTCCTTCTAATTCTTAAATTCCCTCCCTGCAGGCATCCATCCATCGACCTTTGACCAAGCCTCTTAACTCCAACAAGCCAAACACGCTTGCCTAAGATGCCTGGAAAGCACATAGCTGCACAGGGCCCTTCCATTGCTTCTCCTTTTTGCATCTCCTCGCATACACAGTGTGAACTCAGGGTTTGGGGAAGGAGAACATTGGGAACTAACCAGTTGTGTCACATTTCCTGGTGGTAAGGCTAAGGACTTGCTAGAGGATTTAAAACAAAAACAAACAAAACAAAACTGTGCACAAATAATGTGCTTTTCAAGAGTTTAGAAATTTAGTTCCCCCTACCAAAATTTCGACAGAGAGAATATTTCTAGGACAAACAAGTAAGGAAAAAATAATGAAAATTGCTTCCTGGAAATCAAGTTGCGAGTGGGAAAATGCAGTGTAAAGAATTATTATTTTTTGTTTGTTTTAAAGAGAAAACATGGACATACCAAAATAGCCTCACAGAGCAAACCAGAAGTAAGAATTCACAAATTGGAGAAAAGCAGGCAATTAGAACTAGACTCAGCTAAGCAAACTCCTCAGGCAAACAGAGATCTCCAAGTGTTTGGGAGATTTTGTTAGTTCCTGGAACTGAAGTCAATTTCTTATATCAGAAATGATTTCATAAAACTGAATGCCTTAATGGCATTTGATTTGTGATTTATTTCCTGTTTTCCATTCCCAGTGCTGAGGCTGGAACCCATGTCCACACGCATGCTAGGTGAGTCTTCTGCATGACTGACCTGGATCCCCAGACCCTATCCATAGTTTCACTTATATATATATATATATCCCACTTTATTCTATTCTGTTGTCTATCAGCTTACCAGAGATTTATTTTTGACTATTAGAATTAACGGTAAATGACAACAAATATACTCTAATGTAGACCACCATGAGTATTTTATAGTCTTGGTTATAATCTTTATAGTCCTCATCTATCATGTGCTTTGTTTAAAACTTTACAGATTACATAACATACTAGAATTCTTCTTTAATTTAGAATGTTCTCATCTGGGCATGGTTATGTGTATCTTTAGTCCCAGCACTAAGAAGGCAGAGGCAGGCGTGTTTCTAAGTTCAAGGCCAGCCAGATCTACAGAGCAAGTTCCAGGAGAGCCAGGGCTACACAGAGAAAACCTATATCAATCCCCTAAACACACACACACACACACACACACACACACACACACAGAGAGAGAGAGAGAGAGAGAGAGAGAGAGAGAGAGAGAGAGAGATTGCCTAATATTGGCTTATGGTGAATTTCTGTTCTGCTACCCCATCTATGCATTTTGCATGTGAATTTTGTTCTGTAAGCGATTCCCATTGCATTAAAATATTCTTTCCCTGGATATAAAAAGTTTCCTTATAACTCAGAAAGAAAACAAAATTTGTAAGGCTCAGGGAGTGAAACTCACTAGTCTCAGGATGCTCTTGAAACAGAAACGATCCACCGGGCCCCTCTCCAAGGTTGTATAAACAGTAATAACGGCTGGGACCAGGAGATGCTGTGGCTGGTTCACTGACTGCAAGCTGTCAACCATTCTGGGGTAGTATTAGTTAGATGTGGTTGCCTTTAAAAGATCCATGCTTCTGTAAGCAACCCCTTACCCATGTTCCTGTAGTGACACCATGAAATTCAAGGGTTCACTAGCCTAGCCTTGGACAGAATAGTCTCTTTGTCTGGCATCAATGTTCTATCTGAGGTGGATAATCATTTATTCATGACTCCATAGGAAAAGCTAATGCAATAAATTTCAGATAACGACTTAATTACATTCCCATATCAGTGGAAAAGTATTTAATGTTCATTTATATAATTTTATTTGTTGTTTTTCTTTGGAAGTAAGTTTTTGAAACATATCTAATTTCTCAAAGGACTTTGTGAAGGAAGATTAAATGACAAGTATACAGTTGTCAAATCAGTGCACACAGTGCATCATAAAGACTAAATCAAACTTGACATTATTTTTGTTATCTTCTTCATTTTCTGAAGGGGGAAATAAATGTGAGATTGCAAATTCATTGGATGATTTGTTTTCAACAGAACATTTCTAGGTCATGCCCTTTTGTTTGAAGTCTACCAGGTAAGAAGCACTTCTGCCTTTATTTATTTACATAATTGGAATTTACGTAATTGGAATATCATTATCTCGATTCTCTTTTCACCAAAGATCATGAGGAACACCACAGAGTCCATTAGAATTGTCGAATTTCAGACCCAAACCACAATTATGGATTCAAAATCTATGTGTTTTAAAAAAAAAATGTAAAACGCACAACTCAAACACATGCAGAACTTGAAAACCTTGGCAAACTCTGTTCTAAACAGATCATTTGTTGACCTTTACCTTCAGAATTGGGTTCTTTCAGCATTTTTCACTTTCCTTGATACTCAAATTGTTCGACTCATTCTCCTTGAAGTAGAGATGTGCTTTGTGCTTTGTGTAGCCGTTCATCTGTTGAGTCGCTCACACTCCTCTTCCGTACGCCTCGTCTCCTCCGGAAGACAGCGTGCTCTGAGCACCTGTGGAAGGTCACTTTCATTTTGTTTCCAGCCTTCAGGGGTGGCTTTTGATCTTCATTGCAGTCTTTAGTCTCTAAATCATTCCAAGGATGCTGAATTATTTGTAAATGTGGGAGATTTAGGAACAGCTGTGCATCCTTTACTGAGTAGGAGCAGCTTAGAGTTGCGTGGTCTTAATCAAAATCTAGCGTCAACTCGTCCATACTGGAGAATACATGGAGGAGTATGCAGTGCCTGACATGCAGGCCTTCCTTTGTCTCCTCACATTTATGTGTGGTTCATGTTGAATATAAGTGCATCGTCTGATAAAAATTCTAAATCAACGGAGATATAAAGTACTACCCAGAAGCTGGAACTATAACACAAGACAGCTCAAAACCTTTATGGGCATTCATTCAGTATGGATTTATTAGGCAGTTTCACAGTAGGCTCCCATATCCTCCCTCCCATTGATCCTGAAGCCTATCCCTATACAAGTGAGAGTTTCCCTGTCTTCACTATTTTTCTGTTGGCTCTAAGATCTCACTTCTCAGCACCTGATGGGGGAAGTGAAGGAATGTTGACCTAGGTTTCTGTCCCGCCCTGTCCCATAGTCATTCAGTCCCAAAGAAACACACAGAGGTCTACATTAATCATCAACTTATTGGCTTATTAGCTCAGGCTTCTTATTAACTCTTTCTTACATCTTATATTAGCCCATTATTTGTGTCTGTGTTAGCCACATGGCTTGGTACCTTTTTCCGCGAGGCATTCTCATATTGCTTCCTCTGCAGCTGGGTCACAACTATAGACTGACCTTTCCTCTTCCCAGAATTTTCCTGTTCTCCCTGCCCTGCCTCTACTTCCTGCCTGGCTACTGGACAATCAGCATTTTATTAAACACAGGAAACAAATCTTTACAGAGTAAAGCCATTGTCCCACAGCGAAGGTATCCATTTTCCACTTCTTCAAGATCTACAAACTGTTATTACCCTTCCTCCTTGGGTAAACAGCCAGAGGTCACCTAAATCTCTTCTCTAATATACCTAACCACAAAATAGCCTTCCCTTGCTTCATTAATAGAGCTTTATGATGGTTTCTGAAAGAACTAAGTCGCTGGTTCTCAACCTGTGGGTCATGACTCCTTTGGGGATCAAGCAATCCATTCATTGGAAAACACAGATATTTACCTTACAATTCATAACACTAGCAACACTCCCGTTATGAAGTAGCAAACAAAGTAACTTTATGGCTTGGGGGGATCCCCACAAGGTGAGAAACTGAATTAAAAAATTGTACCACTGACACCCCAGCCCACACCTCTGGTAGAAGCCTTCTACCCTACCAAAGAAGAGGCCAGAGCCCTGAATCCCAGGTAAGACTGCCCCCTAACCCCAACCACTCCTACCCAGCATAACCCCAACTGCCTCTCCTCTCCTCGTCATCATATCCCAGTCCAAACCTCTAGCAGAAGCCTCCTACCTTATGAGAGGCCAGGGCAGCATCCTGAATCTCAGGTAAGACCTCCCCTCTAACCCTCCCTTGCTTGCCCAGCGTACCTCCAACTGCCCTCCTCTCCTGGTCACTAAAGTCTCCTACTCCATCATTGGCTCTGAGGACCGGTCTCAACAAAAATACTTCTTACTTGGGTAGAGGTGTGGGAATTGAAGAAATATAACTAAAGAATATGCAGACGCATAAAAATAATAAGACAGAAAAGAGAAAAGGTATTGGGAGTGTATTTCAGGGAGTACTCAGACCCTGAACTCACCCGCATTTATATTTCCACAGTTTTTATGCCCAGTGTAAACTGGAGCGGAAGGTAACAAGAGACTTTATTAATATGATACAAAAGGTTAACTCACACAGTCAACTCTGAGACATTCAATCATTAGCATTCTGTTATCTAGGTAGCTAGGTAGTGAGGTGCCCCAAGTCATGTACTCTAAGTCACACATGCAGAAGATCACCCTTCCCTAGGGTGGTATCATAGTTATAAAATAAGGCAGCAGAAGTACATCAGAATATCCTACCACCCACAGTCAGGATGGTACCCAGCTATCTTAACTTCAAAAGGACCAGGCAACCACCTCCTGAGTTAGAAGGTGCAATTAAGCCTGTTTGTCCTCAAACCGTCAGACAAGGTGGGAATGGGCCTGCATTTTTTGGCCTCCACAATAGGCCAGATCAGTTTGTTGAAAATGAGGCAAAACCCTCCTACCACACCAGAAGCCAGGTCAGCATCCTGCACCACAGAGGATCCCTAGTCAGATCAGAGGCCACATACATCATGCCTCACCAGAACTCCAGTTCCTAACATAAACCAGAGGCTATCCAATTCCCTGATGGATCTTGGCTATTCAGGACATCAGAAGTCCAACCCCCAACTCAGTGGAGACCCTCTATTCAACCACAGGCCACTACAGCTAGAAAACCAGAGAGAAAACAGAAACCAAGAAAGAAAACACCCATTCAACAAACACGAAGCCAGAAATCTGCAACAAGACCTAATCTCTCCAAATCCAGATGCCTAAAAGTCAGTGTAAGGACACAATCAACAACAGACGGGGTAATATGTCACCACCAGAGACCGTCCAAACCACCACAGCAAACCCTGGATATTCCAACACAGATGAACACAAGAAAATGATGTCAAAACCAACTTTATAAAGATGATAGAAGTTCTTTTTTTTTTTTGATTTTTGAGACAGGGTTTCTCTGTAGTTTTTGGTGCCTGTCCTGGAACTAGCTCTTGTAGACCAGGCTGGCCTCGAACTCACAGAGATCCGCCTGCCTCTGCCTCCCGAGTGCTGGGATTAAAGGCGTGCGCCACCACTGCCCGGCGATGATAGAAGTTCTTAAAGAGGAAATGAATAAACTCCTTAAAGAAACTGAAGGAAAAACAATAAAATAAACTGGAGGAAATCAATAAATTCCTTAAAAAATGTCAAAATTGTCAAGAAAAAGGAAAATTGAAGCAAATGAATAAAACTCTTCAATACCTGAAAACGGAAATAAAAGCAATAAAGAAAACAAAAACTGAGGGAATTTGGGAAATAGAAAATCTGGGTAAATGAACAGGAACTACAGAAAAAAGTATCACCAATAGAATACAGGAAATGGAAAACAAAATCTCTGACATTCAGAAGACATGATAGAAGGAATCTATTAGTCAAAGAGAGTGTTAAATCTAAACAAATTCTGACAAAAAAACATCTGGGAAACTTAGGACATGAAATCTTGAGCTATTAAAAGACCAGACCTAAGACTAATAGGAAAAGAAGTAAATTCCCAGCTCAACGACCCTGAAAATATTTTTAACCAACTTAGAGAAGAAAATTTTCTTACCCTATATAATAATTTGACTAGAAATTTGACTAGAAAGGAAGCTTACCAAATAGCAAATAGATTGGACCAGAAAAGAAAATTCCCTCACCACTTAATGATCAAAACACTAAACATACAAAACAAAGAAAGAATATTAAAAGCTGCAAGAGAAAAAAGGCCAAGTAACGTATAAGGCAAAGCTATTACAATAATGTTCCTTTCTGAAGAGAAAGAGGGGAGGAGTGGATGGTGGGGAGCAGGGTAGAGGAGAGGTTGGGGGAGGAATTGAGATGAGGGAAGGGAGGGGAACTGTGGTCTGGATGGGATGTGAATAACAATGACAATAATAATAATAATAATAATAATAATAATAATAATAATAATAATAATAAAGTTTTTTTTTCAAAAATAAAAAGCAGGTCACATTAGGAAGGTTGAGAAGCACTGCTCTAGAGTCCCTTCTTGGATCAAAACAATGAAATACGATCAGCCAGGTCCTGGAGGACTGTGGCAATGTCATGTCACTGACCCAGCATTTGATTTTACTGGACTAAAGTCAGTAGTTGTAGGTCCTCTATGAGACTTGAGAAGCATGCATCACCCCAACTGGTTAGTACAGCCACTCTTCTCATACAAGAGAGCTTTATTGTGATCTTCATCCATTTTGACTAGGGAACAGATAGATGATCTTTTCCTAAATACTGTGTTCCTCTTGTTATAGAGGCTTGGGATGCTTTGGAAAAAGATGTGTTTCCTAAGTCCTTCCAGGGTAATAGAATGGGCATTGCTGAGCAAACTACGGTAATGGATCTGGTTCACCAGTCCTAGAGCCCTTAGTATTAAATTCTTTCTTACGTGTCCTCAGAAACTTCCATCATTTAAATTTTATTAATTGTAGCCATTATTTTTCCAAACTCCAAATAACTAACACAACAAATCACAAATGTTTAGTTCCTTCATACTAAAGAACACTTAAATCTTATATGGAGGATGAATATATCCACACTATTAAGTGTAGCCAGATCTGCCTCATATTTTCTTTTTCTTCTTCTTCTGTTTAATATCCTCAGAATACATTTACTTGTGTTTTCCAGGCCTCAGTAATGATGCAAGGTTAAAAGCTGACAGTAGAGCAAAGGTTACCAGAGGCTGGGGAGAGCAAGAAGGATGGAAGAATAAGGATAGGCTGGTGAACAGATACTAAGTCACTGCTAGACATGAAAAGAAGTTGTGGCATGCTTTTGACCAGTAGGGAGATTCTAGGAGATCAAAACACACTGCATGTGTTAGGGTAATAGAAGGAGCATATTCTGCACCTTCAGCATGGGGAAAAAAGACGTTTGAAGAACTAAATCTACTGATCTTAATCTTTAACATTAAACAGGGTATAAATATATGAAAACCTCACAGGGCATCCCATAAATATATCTAATATTCTTGTGTACATTAAATACTTTAATTAAAAAGTAAAATGATGCAGATTAGTAGAATGTATCTTGCATTCATTCTCTTACTCTTCCTAAATGAAAAGTCAGTCTTACCTTTGTCAGCACTGCTGGAATCTAATACAGTGGATGTAGGATTCTTTGATTATTTATCTGGAGAATCCTGCTGCTTTAGAGAACAGCTGCTCTCTGCGAGTTTGCCCCAATTCCTTGGGAGTCATGGTTGTTATGGAAAGCTGTTGTTGCTAAGAATCCTCAGTATCATCGCATCTGTTGAATTGCTTCATCATGAATTTCAGGTTCTTCCCTTCTCATTCAGTGTCCTATGTTAACACCATATTTCTCAAACTTCTGTCCACTTACTACTAATTACATTACAAACACGCAGATTTTAACTGCATATGACATACAATTTAAATATTTATCTGTAGCACAAATTCTAGTAAGTCTTAATAATAAAAGCCCAGAGTCAGATATTGGGGAAAATACTGAGACAAAGGCACAAGACCAAGGACACCTTACCTGCTGTACTTTGCAGCTGAATAGAAATGAGCTCTTGTGTCCTCCTGTCTTATCCCTTCCTCTCTGTCTGTACAGATCTCCAGACCTCTTTGGTTAGCTAGTGACAAAAAGAATTCAAGTCAATGTAAAATATTTAAAACTAGTAGTTTTTTTTTTGGTTTAAAAGTAGATTCAGTAATCTACCTTTTAATCCTATTTCCATATTCCCCCTTATTTCTTTGCAGAGTAGACTCAATAATCTATGGTTATATCCTATGTCTGTATCTTCTGCCTTTTTTTCAAAACAAAAACCCTGACTCTAATCTCCTTTGTTCAATTTTCTCCCTGACTGTACCAATAACAACTTGCAACCAACCCCCCTAGGCAATTACAAATATCCATATCCTGCTGAATGACCAAAAAACACCCACCCCACCTCTTGAGAGTATAGGCATCATATTCTTAAATTTACTTCCTGCTGTCTGAGAGTGATGGCATCTTTAGGGGATCCTGAAAAGAAGAATTTGGGTAAATTGTCAAGTCATGGGAGATACAGCTGTATCATTTATTGTTGAATCTCCTTAAATCTAGCATTCTCATAGAAGTTCATTTACCTCTTGCACAGCCTTTGAGATATCTGTCATTTGATGGTTCCTGTAAGGTGACTGGATAAATTAAAGTCGGTTGTTTGAAAACCTTAGGCTATTCATTCCTCTCTAACCTTGTAATGCAATGCTGAAATTGGTTCTCCATTAAATTCCTCTGTCTCGATGTGAATATCTCTACAAACTTTTTCATTCTTTCTAAAACTTGTATCTCAACCCTCATATTAACCAACTTTTTTAGTGAAAAAGTAAAAATGATAAAACTGATAATGTTTATAATTGACATTAAATAAGTCCCATCTAAACTACTTATCCTTTTACTTAATTGCTCCATTTTCAAACTGTCCGGTGTATTATCACACAGAGACCTAAATCCCTCCATAGTAACAGTTTTCCCATTTTTTTTAAAAAAAATGTGAGTTAAAACTCTCTCTTTTAACGAATTCCTCCCTTTATTAAACCCCAATTGTCTTAACGAATCTCCTGACGATGTCAGTGACCTGTGATGCATAGCACATTTGAGTGGGGAACAAAGGCAGTGAGCAGCTTGGCTGAGGACAGCTGCGGCTGCTAACACGTAGCTGTGAGCTGCAAGTGGCAGGTGCAGGGGGTGTGTAAGCAAAGATCACAACCCATGGTGGAGAGAGGGGGTTGTTTGGAAAATGCACAGGGGATTGTGTGGGAAAAGCACGTTGGCAGTGCTGCCTGAAGGCAGAACAGCTGGTCTAGGGTAGGTAAGTCCTGTGGTGTTTGGAGCCCAGGCTGAAAACTGTTTTTGAGAGGCTACAACAGGAAAATCCCAAACTCTCTCAGAGGCTTGGGGAAAAAAAGAAAAGAAAGCCTAGCCAGGCAGGGAAGGAGCCCCATGTGCTGTTCCTGCCTGTGCAGGTGGCTACAAAGCCACACCCAAGTGGCTTTTTCATGAGCTCCTGCCTTCAAGTTGGTGCCAGTATAGAACACAAGTTCTAATAGATCTTAATAATAGAAGCCTGGAGTCAGATATTGGGGAAAATGCTGAGAGATCAAAGAGACAAAGGAGCAAAACCACAACCACCTTACCTCTCAACTTTCTAGCTGAAATGAGACTGAGTTCCTCCTGCCTTATCCTTCCTCTCTCCTCCCAGCCATATCACTTCCTGTCTGTCTGTACAGACCTCCGGACCTCTATGGTTAGCTAGTGGCTAGCTCTGCTCTCCGAAGTTCAGGCAAACGTTATTTGTACAAGCAAGATATCACCACATTTGTCTCAACCTTAAGCCTGAGGGAGGGGGGGGCCGGATACCGTCCTAAGAATGTGCTGTCATTACTTCATGTTACCTCATGCAATGTTCACAAAATTCCATTAAACACTTAAAAGAGAATGGCACTGAATTAGCAGATACTGTCTACGTTTTAGTATGAAAATAACTTCGGTGTGAAGGGCACTCTGGGATGCCTTAGGATATATTTTAGTATGAAAATAGCTTTGGTGTGAAGGGCACTCTGGGATGCCTTAGGAATCATTAGTGACTCCAGAGAAAACACTGAGAAATGATATCTAAACACAGAAGAAATGACAACATTGCCTGAAAAGCTGACATGGCAAAGATCCCGCAAATACAATAGAGTTTGGGCATAGGATCTTCAAAATTCTCTATTCTGGAATCAAATAATAAATGGGTTCTTAGTACCATAAAATTCTGACCTTTCACCTAAGTTTCGAATGGGAAGTTTGGAGCCCTACGTTTCTATTTTCTTTCTGTAATGTGGCCTTAGTCACCCTATCCCACTATCTTTGCAGTTGCTGCTTTCCTCACAACAATGAAATGTCACAGTTCCTTGACCTTGAAGCATAATCGTGCTGGTTAGGAGCACTCCTGCCTTTGATGGACTAAGTGCCTATGATTGTATGGCATGCCATGCAGCTCCATCTTTCCTGGGAGAAGAGATGCTCATTAACAGCTAATCCACACATAACAGGATCCCAATGATGGGGTTTATTTCCTGTACCCGTTCCAGGTACTAGGTCAGAGAGCACGCTAATCTAGAAAAAGTAGGCAGTTTCTAGAACCATTTAATGAAGTAGGGATTGAGGTTTCAAAAGTGTGGGGAGGGTTAAAGGCAACAGCAGCAGAGGAGACCAGGAATAGTGAGGCATTAAAGGGGAAACAGAGACATCAGTTTGGATAAAGCAGGTGCCGCGGCAGTGGAGACATGCTAAGATCCTGAGCTGATGAGTCCTCAGAACACCGTGAAACAGGTCCCTGGAGAATTGGCAAGTACCCTCAATCACAGAGCCCCAATATGCTGTCCTCATTCTGTTGTCTACCTGTGTCTGTCCCAGCTGGGAGCCAGACACAGAAGCAGCAGTGCTAGCCTGCAGACAATAAGGAGCATGCAGGGAAGAAAGAAAGGAAAAGTAGGCACGGCTTAGTGCTCATGAATGAGGGATTTCAGGGAAAGAAAAATGGCTTCACTTATTTACAGGGTAGAATGAGATTTTAAATGAAATATCGGTGAGCCATATTCAGGGTCTGGAACTGTGGAACCAAATCGATGACTCGTGGCAATGAACACTTGTAAACGAAAGAGAAAGGAGTAAAGAGTGAAATGTGTGTGTGACTCCCTGGACCACACCACACTTCTACAACAAAGCTAATGTTTCTTTCTTTTTCTTTCTTCTTTCTTGTTCTGCCTTGTTTTGTTTTGCAAGGGAGGTTACAAGGGCAGAGAGCAGATGTGGTGGGGGCGTGGAGATGAGCAGGATTGGGATGCATGATTGAAAGCCACAAAGAATCAATTAAAGTTAATAAAAAAAAACAAAAATTCTTCCAAACTATAACTATAATATCGGCAAGGTCTTTCTATTATACTTTTCATTTTAAACAGTATTTCTATCTATGATAAAAAATATACAAATAGCCTTAGAGTGGGAGCAAAGGACTGAAATATTAATATTTCATAATATAATATATTTAATAATATAATAATATTAATATTATTGTCTTATATAAAATACTTAATAGATATTACATCTCTTGATTATATTATAAACTGTGACTTCATTACTTGTGGTAGAAGGACAAATGAGTCGATATGATCTTTAATTTGTTGGTAGGTAAGGTATGATGAGAACATTTGTAGTTAAAATATTAAATACATTTAAGTCTGTATGTGTTTCAATAACTATTCCACCAGCTAAGAGATTACTTAATTATGTATCTTATTACTGAAGTTTTGTTTGCTCAAAGAGCTAGAATAATTTTTCTGATTATCTCACAGAGCATAATGCCTTGGGTTCTTTGTTCTCCGTTCTATTTTGTAATTACTAATCTTCTGAGTGAAAAGATATCATTGCTACAAGCTCAGAAAAAGCCTCTATGTACCACAGAAAACCTGAGACATCTGGTTATCCAGTCATGAAAAGATGCCCTACCATAATGATACCACATTTTCAATATCAAAGTTACTCTAGAAATAGCCTTTCCGACAGGTATCCACCTCACTACTTTGCTTTCCCTATGAAATGAGTGCATATCAAGTTCATATGTCAGTGGAGAAAATTGTTTTATTGACTCAGGATGTGTTGGGGGAGGCTGCTTGTTCTTTTCCCAGCTGCCCAGACTCCAGAAATAATCACACAGAAATCTGTATTAATTGCAATACTGTTTGGCTAATAGCTTAAGCATATTACTAACTAGCTCTTATATCCTAAACTAACCCATCTCCATTAATCTGTGCATTGCCATTTGGTCGTGGCTTACCAGTGAAGTTTTGACAGACTCCAGAGGAGGCATCTGTCTCTGGCAGCAGTTACATGGCTTCTCACTAACTCTGCCTCCTCTCTCTCTCTCTCTCTCTCTCTCTCTCTCTCTCTCTCTTCCAGTCTGGTTATATTCTGTTAAGCCATTGGGCGAAAACAGCTTCTAAATTAACCAATAAAAGCAAAACATATACAGAAGGATTTCCCATGCCAAGGATGGACCATTTTCTCAGCATGACTTTGATTTAGTATTGAAGTAAAAATATAATTTTAAATACCTGTCAGAAATACAAATCTCCTGTACATGAAATGCATGATCAAATTTTGTCTAGCTAAAATGTAATGAACATTTGGAAGTCACTGCTGACAGACATAGATTCTTTTTATGATGGAATCCGACTAATGATATTTCCATATAATGTAAACCATATGAAGGGTTTACACATGCTACAGGGAAGAAGTCACTGAGCCACTTGAATATATTTTTAAATAAAATGCAAATCAGACTTTCAAAGAATTTCAGATTTAATTATAAATCATTGTACGTGTGTGTCTGTCTGTCTGATGTCTGTCTGTCTGTCTGTCTCTTTCTCATTTGCATGGAGTACTTCTTTACCCATTGCCATATATGACAATCCACAATTTCCTGCCTTAGATATCTGTTGAGCACATGACGGGGAAGCCTTGTTAACCAATTTTCTTTAAGAGGTGGGATCAGTTAGGGCGTGGTTTTCTGGGACCCAGAGAAAAATGGTGCGCCACCCAAGTGCTCTCTCTCTCTCTCTCTTCGTGGTTCCCTCACAGCTGAGCTTGAACTTCTCGTTTCTGTTTCTTGAGTTTTTCCTTTATAATAAATAAAATATAATTGCTTTATCTTTTAGCTAGCCTGGTTATTTCCTGAATCAAGCTAACTTCTACAGTTGGAGCTCCGAATTGTGGGGCTCAGGTCTCTATCAGTTCTAATCAACTACTGTCAGGCTCCACACAGCTTATTTGGGTATAAAATTCCCACACAGCAGCCCTGAGTAACTATTAGCTGTGGTCCTTCATATTTTCTCATTAAACATCTCAGAGAGCCTTGGCCACCAGCGACTGCATGGTTGGCTTCTGGGTCTAGTACGCGACACTGGCTTCCATGCTTTCTTGCTCTCTTTGTGCTTGTGCAGCTGCGGACCAGTCAGGGACTTCCACAGAGCACAAAGTCTGTGGTTTACACTAAATAATTGTTTCTAATCTGAGCGTATCCTTGAGCATTTAACGCTGAAATCAGATTCAAACCCACCGCGTGGCTACAAGTGCAATGCGACACCTACTGGTAGGCAAAGGTTATTACACCTACTCCAGCTCAAACTCAACCACAGGTAAGATTTATAATTTAAAATACAAATTATAGACATCCGCTTCCGGGGCCACGGCCGTCGGACTGTGGGCCTCGGCTGGTCGATCAGGCTACGCTCGGTGTCGCACCCCACAAACCATACTCCTTAAGAATCGGCTACCTCTGCTTTGTTGTCGATCTTCTCCGCCAATCATGCTGGAACATCTGAGTTCGCTGCCCACCCAGATGGATTACAAGGGGCAGAAGCTAGCTGAACAGATGTTTCAGGGGATTATTCTTTTTTCTGCAGTAGTTGGGTTTATCTACGGGTACGTGGCTGAGCAGTTTGGATGGACCGTCTACATAGTTATGGCCGGATTTGCTTTCTCGTGTTTGCTGACACTTCCTCCGTGGCCTACCTATCGCCGGCATCCCCTGAAGTGGTTACCTGTTCAAGACTTAGGCACTGAAGACAAGAAATCAGGGGACAGAAAAGTTAAGAGACATACTAAAAATAATTGATGCGAGCTTTCACGACTCAGCGCCCGCTTTCGTTTCCTGTAAAATGAGCTGAATGGCTTTCATAACCGAAACGTGAGCTGTGTCGAGATCCCGCTGTGCTTGTTTCATTTCTCATCCAGCTGGTTTTAACTTACAGCTGTTTTATTCCATCTCCTCACAATCTTGCCATGGAGAGCAGGAATATAAGTGTGCAATGCTTCTTTCAGGTGTACATGATGAATAAAATCTAACCGGTAATACTTTTTTTTTCTTTCTAAAAAAAAAATACAGATTATAAATTTATAATTTAAAAGGGCAAAATTACAGACAATTTAACAATCCAGGAGTTCAATAGCTTTTTTACTTATACCATGTACAATGTTATGCAAGGCTTATATGATTTCCCTCCTACATCCCTCTATTTAATTCTGGGGATTAGCTTTGTTCTTCATATTTTCCCCTTAAAAACACGGTTTAATAACAGGGCCAATAATGAGGTACTTTTAGAAATGATATAGTTTCTATAGATATTATAGACTGATAATGACCAACTAAAAGGGAAATTCAGCACTCTGGAGAAAGATACAACCAACTTGACAAACAAAACCCAGTCAATGACAGAGGATGCTGAGATATTGTCTGAGAGAATTCATACTGTTGAATGTGTTAATCAGATCTGTCAAAGATTGATATGATAGATTGACTGATAGAATGTATCTCCAGGAAGGTAATATGTATGCTATAAAAATTATGTAAAAGGATGAGATGTTATCTTTACTGGACAGACTTCACACCTTGGAATTCTCACTGAGGGAATTAGAACAGAACACTGGACTGCAGATCCAGACTTTACAAAAGACAGTGGTGGAAAGATTTGAAAAGATTGAAGAATTTATTGAATTTGATGAACAGGGACAAAAGGTACAAAGACAATATTTAGCCTCATCAGTACATACCAAACCCCAGGATAGCTTACCCAGAGTTCTACCTGCCTTTCCGGTGACATCATCAGTAAGAGCATCTGGCACCAAATACCCAAAGGTAGTCAAAGAATATACATGGGAATCCATAAGTATGACTGATCTAAAGGAAATTAAACAAGCAGTTGTATCTTATGGAAAAACATATGTCCTTCATTAGGGAAATGGTCAAAACATGGGCTTCAAGCAATAAAGCAATGCCACAAGACTGGATTCAGTTCATCTCAGCAGTCCTAGAAAATGGACCCCAGTTGCTTTGGTGGTGTTACTTTTGGGAAGAGGCAAAAATTTTAGAGCAACAGGGAAAAGCAAAAGGACTTGAGATTTCCCAAGATCAAATTCTGGGCAAGGGAATTTACTCTAATCCTCAGGATCAAGTTTTTTTTTTTATGATAAACATACCTTGTCCCTGTGTAGCATAGCAGCTTTCAATGCTGGGGACAGGATTCAGTAGCTAGGAAAAAGAATTAAATCATATATTATGGTTAAACAGGGTCAGAGAGAACCCTTTAGTGACTTTTTACAAAGATTACTAAGGCTGTACAAATAGTAACAGACCCAGAAGCTAGATATGTACTAATTGAATCTTTGGCTTTTAAGAATGCTAACTTAGAATGCAAAAAGATCCTTGGGCCTTTTTAGATCAGATCAGCACCAATGGATGAATGGATCTTGTATACAAGAATGTTGAGACAAATTGCCTATAGTACTGAAGCTTGGGTAGGAGAAACAATTTCCTATGGTATGAGGAGACATCAAAATGCCAAATGTTTTAATTGTGGTAAAATAGAACATCTGAGAGAGGATTGTATACAAGGAATTCCTAGTAATAATGTCTCCTCTGGGAATGGCAAGAATAGGAGGACTCAGTCTTCAAGTATATGTAGGAAGTGTGGCAAAGGCTGACATTGGACCAATGAATGTAGGTCAACAAAAGACAAACAAGGCAACCTGACACCATCGGAAAACTCCTTGGGAGCATCTTGCAGGTTCCCATGACAAACATGGTCAGATCATTCCCAATTACTGTGGAGAACGTGTCTCACCAGGAAAATTAAAAAATATATTGTGGCAGATTTCTATGAATGATCAAAGACCAAATCTAAGAGTGTGTATAAATAGCATTTTTATTGAAGGCTTACTAGACATGGATGTGGATGTAAGCATCATTACTCCAGAATCTTGGCATCCAAACTGGCCTCTTCAACAAGTATAATTTCAGTTTCTAGGAATTGGAACCCTATCTCAAGTGAAACAAATCACAAGATGGGTCTAATGCATAGGGCCAGAATGACAGAGAGGAAGGCTGACACCATATGTAGTTAATATTGCAGTGGATTTGTGGGGTTGTGACCTATTACAGTAATAGAATACACAGATTAACATTTCTGCACCCCAAAAACTTGTTTCTGGAGAAGATATTAGAAGATATTATAGACAAAGGTCACAAGCCATTCAAGTTGTACAAGAACACAAAGCAATTTACAAACCTTCAGTGGTACTAATGGCCTTGGCTTTAAAATGGTTAACTGAGAAACCAATATGAATTAACAGAAAAAAAGCTGTAGGCTTTAGGACAGCTGGTACAAGAGCAACTAGATGTTCACCATATTGAACAATCTACCAGCCCTTGGATTTCTCCTGTATTTGTTGTTACAAACAAATCTGGAAAATGGAGAATGGTGACAGATATTAGAGTTATCAACAAGGTTATTCAACCTATGGGCCCTCTACAATCTGGAATTTCTCTGAATTCCATATGAAAGGATGGCCTCTCATAGTTATTGACTTAAAGGATTGTATCTTCACTATACCTTTACAAGAAAAGGATAGAGAAAATTTTGCCTTCACGGTGCCTACATATAATAATTCTCAGCCTACTAGGAGATATCAATGTACTGTCCTCCCACGAGGAATTCTCAATAGCTCCATCCTGTGCCAATACTTTGTCAGTCAGCCATTGGAAATAATACATAAGCAATTTCCTAGGTCTATAGTCTACCATTACACAGATGACATTTTGTTATCTGATTCAAATGCAGATATTTCAGAAAGAATGTTTGAAGAAGTATAGAAAGTTTTGCCTAAATGGGGATTACAAATTGCTCCTGAAAAAATTTAAAGAGAAGATTCTGTTAATTGCCTAGGCTACAAAAAAGGTTTACAGAAAATTAGAACACAAAAGGCACAAATTAGGAGAGACCGGTTACAGACTCTTAATGACTTTCAAAGATTGTTAGGAGATATTTCCAGTCTATGACCAGCTGTTGGGATACCATCTGATCTAATAATTTATTTAAACAAAGCCTTAGATATTGACAAAGACTTAGCAGTCCCAGAGAACTAACAACTGAAACAGAAAAGGAATTGACAATTGTTGAGGAGAAATTACAGAAGGCACATGTGGATAGGGCAGATACAAATCTTAATTGTATTCTAGTCCATGTTGCCTTCCAGAATTTCTCCTACAAAAATTTTAATGCAGAGGTACAATATTATCTTAGAATGGATCTTTTTACCACATAAACCAAGTAAAAAATTTAAAACTTATGTGGAAAAGGTCTCTTAATTAATTATAAAAGGTAAATTGAAACTTTGTCAATTAGCAGGTATAGACCCAGCAGAGATTATAGTGCCCTATACTACTGATTAAATAAAAAAAAAGTTATGGGACGACAACGAACCCTGGAAAACAGCTTGTGCTAATTTTTTGGAAGACATTAATAGCAATTATCCCAAAAGAGATGGACTTAACCTTATAAAAAGAACTTCTTGGATTCTTCCTTGAATTGTACATGATGCTCCAATAACTGGTGCCTGTACATTTATTACTGATACAAGTAAATCAGGGAAGGCAGGTTACAAATCAGAAGAATTAAGTAAGGTGGAACAAAGCCCTTATAATTCTGTCCAGAAGGCAGAATTGTATGCTATTCTTATGCTACTAAGGGATTTTAAAGAACCTCTCAATATAGTCACTGATTCACAATATGCAGAAAGAGTTGTCTTGCATATTGAAACGACTGGATTTATACCAGAGGATACAGAGTTGACTTCATTATTCATTCAGGTGCAAGAAATAATCAGGAATAGATTTTATCCTACACACGTAACACATATCTGATCCCATACAGGTCTTCTAGCACAAGGTAATGTAGAAATTGTTCAATTATTGATTGGAAGTGTGTTTCAGGCTTCAGAATTTCATAAAAAAATTATGTTTAAAGAAAGAGTTTCCTACTACATGGTAACAAGTTAAGGAGATTATAAAGAAATATCTTACTTGCTTTTTCTATAACCAAACACCATTGCCTGCAGGGAGTAACCTAAAGGGTACTCAAAGGAATGATATCTGGCAGATGGATGTGTTCTACTTTATGGAATTTGGAAAATTAAAATATGTGCACCAACTCTAGACACTTATTCAGGTTTTCATTGGGCAACTGCCTTCAGCTCAGAAAAGGCTGACTTAGTAATTATGCATTTATTAGAAGTTATGGCCATCATGGGTATTCATGCACAAATAAGGACAGACAATGGTCCAGCATATATATGAAAATGAAAAGTTTTTTGCTTATTATAATACAAAGCATATTACAGCTATACCAAACAATCCTACAGTTAGAAAGGCAGTTATAGAAAGGTCAAATTGAACTATAAAGGATATGCTAAACAAACAGAAAGGGATGAAAAATACCCCCAGAAATAGTTTGCATAAAGCTTTATTAATCTTGAATTTTTTAACACTAATGAGAAAGGAACAAAGGCAGAAGAGAGACATTGGATGATGGAAACAAACTTCTTAATTGAATAAATCAGTGTATTTCAAGGATGTATTGACCTCACAATGGAAACCATGAGATGTGCTACATTGGAGAAGCAGTTTCACTTGTTTCCACAGAAGAACAAAAACTATGGATGCCATCAAAATTAATGAAGATTCAATTTGAAAAAGAGAAACATTTGGAGAAAGAGAAATGACAGTTCATCTACAGTGGTGACAACCATACAGGTGGTAAGGAAACCGTATAGGGATGGGGAAGGATTCTGCTCTTGTCTTTACAGGAAAATTCACATCTTCAAAAATTCAAGAG